CCCCCACCTACTCCATAAGGGCCCTACGTAGCTGCCTTCAGTCGGGGGATCAGACTGCGGTTCAGTTTGCGCAACGGATTCAGGAGACGGTTCTGAAGCACGCGAGCTCTGCTGACTTCAGCGCACTGAATCGAGAGCTGCTAGACCTGTAAGCTCTACTTCCGGCCCCAACATAGCCACCAAGCGCGACCCTCTAGGCACCCGCACACGTTAGCTGCGATACATGACATGTGGCAAGCTCAGAGGCACAGAAGTCAGCCCCTGCATGGTAGTGTATTCGAGAGAGCTCGCACAGCTGAGCGTGCATGGGCTTCGCTCTTGCAGGCGCACAGAGAAGTTCGTGCGAGGGGCAAGCAGGCCAGGAGACGGTGGCTGCTTGAGCAACTGTTGGGCCCTCCCACCTCCCCACCCTCCCTCTCCCCCCCACCACCCCCACCCTCCCGCAGCGTGCATCGGTGCCAGGTGCTTGAAGCCAGAAGAAGGCGAGCTTGAAGAGGAGGCGGTAACAAGCTCCTTCGTACTCTCAGAATATGCTGTCCCAGGTGCGTGGTCTCAACCTGAAGAAGGCGGAGGCGGCGACAAGGCCGGAGCGCCTATCCTCAACCGATATGGGGTCCCAGGTGCGCGGTCTCAACTTGACAAGGACGGAGGCGGGGACCAGGCCGGAGCACCTATCCTCGACCAATATCGGGTCCCAGGTGCGCGGTCTCAACTTGAAGAGGACGGAGGCGGGGACAAGGCCACCCCTCACCCCCCTGCGGACCCCCCCGCCACCAAACCTTATCCCCAACCACAATGAAACACGCCCACCCCCACCCCCGAAACCTTATCCCTAATCACAATGAAACACCCCCTGTGCCAGGTGACCATCCTCGAACGGAGCTAGAAGGCCTGCACGGGAGCACCAAACACTCGTTCTCAACGTCCGGCTCACTTAGACCGCAACCAGCATGGAGTACCAGGTACGTATCCTCAACAGGAAGAAGGCCGGGAGCGGGAATGGGGAACGAAGCCGTGCGGGCTCGCCTGCATGGGGTCCCAGCTACGTGGTCTCAACCCGAAGAAGATGGAAGCGAGGACGAGGCGGGAGCGCTTATAACCAATGTGGGGTCCCAGGTGCGTGGTCTCAGCCCGAAGAAGGCGGAGGCAGGGACGAGGCCGGAGCACTTATCCTCAACCAATATGGGGTTCAGGTTTGTGGTCACAGCCCGAAGAGAGCGAAGGCGGGGACGAGGCCGGAGCGCTTATCCTCAACCGATATGGGGTCCCAGGTGTGTGGTCTCAACCCGAAGAAGGCGGAGGCGGGGACGAGGCCGGAGCGCTTATCCTCAACCAATACGGGGTTCCAGGTGTGTGGTCTCAACCCGAAGAAGGCGGAACCGTCATGACTATAGTCAGGTTTAGAGGGTTGTTCAAACGCTTGCCCCGCGCCAACCTCGTGATCGCATGTATGTCAAATCCAAGAAAGGTCATCAGTTGGGAGGTTCAGAGCAGTTCCAGGCCATATTTGAGTACTTCAAAGGGGTTTTCCAGAGAGGGGATCAATTTGGGTATTCTGGGAGTGGTGTCTATCAGGTCTTCTCGGATGTGGAGGTTCAGCATAGCATTCAGCAGCTTAAGGCAGGGAAAGCTGTGCCGAAACAAAGTCCACCCGCTGAACTGTGGAAGCTCTGTCCACAGGCCTTTTCTGGATGCTATCGTCAGGTTTTGCAGACGGCGCATGACACGACAATCCGGCTCCCATCAGAAACCACGGACTGTAGTCTGCTTTTGCTGCTAACCCAGGCTGTGACGTGTTGATACAAAACTTTTCGATGGACATCGTGCTCACATGTTTCCACTCCTCGATTTGTCCTGTCAAGGCCGATCTCATCAGGTCTAGTTTTGTCTTTCTTAGACCATGCCCCGTAGTGACAGCGCCGCGCGACTGCTTCATGGTGGGCCGCTAGCTCGTGTGCCATCCCGGTCGCGTGGCTGCCGCCGCCGTCGCCCGTCCGAGAGTCGCGATGATTCCCGTGCTCCCAAACGAAGGCGGGCCTCTCCTTCCCCTCGGCGTCCAACTCCAAGGCGAAGCGCTTCACCACCTCAGGATCGTCGATTGCCGAACTCATCACTTTCGCGGCCAGAACTATCTCGAGCATCCGGTCATCAGTCTTCCGTCAACCAGAACACAAACACATGGTTCTTTGAGCTTCCAGGTGCAGCCGACTTTTCCACGGAGCGCGCGAAAGAGAACCTCATGAACTGGGCTGCCGCACACGATATACATCAAGCCTCTTGTCCTCAGATCACTAAGGTTGTTGAAAGACTGGTGTCTCTGGGTGTCACTTCGCCTGGTCGTCTGCTGGGCTTCACTACGGAGGAGCTCTCCCAACTTTCGCTCAATCTGGTGGTCTTCATCCGGAAATCAATGTGGACATCTTGCATTCTATTCTGGCACGTCGCCTCATGGCCCTTGCTTGGCAGTCACAACATGGTCAAGTAGCAGCGAAACATGCAGGGACGGGGGTCCTGCAGAGTGACTTCGCTGTAGAACAACTTCGAGTGAACTCGCAATTGGCAGCAGCGCTGGAGCGCATTGCCAAGGGTCCAACTCGAGCGTCCCGCGGCTCTATCCGAAGAGATCATGAGTCGGATGATGAAGACGTTGAAAAGTTTGATCTTGCCTCGGCCTTGTCCAAAGCCTCGCACAGCTTCTTACCCACGGATTGGTTCCCTTCAACTCAGCTGTTGGCCAGGTTGCAAAAGCTCCTAATGAAAGCTCGTGATGTTCGCAAGCACCAGAACCACCTATTTATTGCTGACTCTGCCCTGGAGTCAAGTCTGTTTCGTTGCATCTGGCCCCCGTTTCGTTGCATCTGGCCCCCGGGTTTGTCAGCTTAGAACCACTATTTTCCAATCCATGTACAGTTCTGTGACTGCCTCAGGTGTCATCGGAAGGAAACCAAAAAACCCTAAGAGATCCCTTAACAGCGGCTCAAGACCCAAATTGACGGCACAAGGCAGCGCTGTTGTCAGCATAGAAACCGTGTTTCCAAAGCCAAGTGTTGTGACTCATGTGTTGCGACTGCCCGATGTGGTGCCGGAGGAAACCAAAAGAAGCCTAAGAGATCCCCTCTCAGCCTTAAGCTGAACACACAGCTTCGCCTGATGGGTTTGAAATGGACAGTGAACCAACCATTGATTGCGCCCAAGGTCAACTGGGACGATTATAAGAAAAACGGAAAACGGGGTAGGGGCGTCTGGAAATTGAAGATTCACAGAAATTTTAACTTGGAAAGCTTCTTGCGGTTTGCGACCAGAATATTTGTAATTTCTTTCTAGAAATGCTCGATTCCCCAAATCGGCTCGAACACGAAATTCCGAAAACTTACGTATAAATTTCAGCACAGTGACAAGAGAGAAAAATGTGCCGACGTGGGATCAGGTGGCTTTGGATGTCCCTGGTCTTGATCAAAGACAATTCGAAGCCGAAAAAACACTTGAGCTAGAGATGTGTCATGCTGACATCGAAAACAGGAGATGATGCATTGAAACTGAAAACAAGACTGCAACAGTAGTGTTTGGGGCCACAAGACACGTTTTGCAAACTGCTTCGGCTGTGTGTGAAGCCAAGTCCAGTATGTGAAGCCTCGGTGCGGTGAGCATGACATTGTGACTCAGTTTTGCTGCAGCTGCTTGTGGTGTGATGTTCGTGACATGTACAGTGTGCACAGTTTGCTGGAGAGAGAGGGAGGCAGGGAGGGAGGGAAGGGTTTGTTGCAAAACTGGCATGGTGTGGGTTGGTGGCTGAGTGGGCTAGGTGAGTGGGGGGGGCGGTGGGTGGGTGGGTGGGTCTGGGTGGGTGGCTGGGAGTGGGTTGGTGGGTTGGGTCGACCTTCATGTTTCTTGTCAGGCTGTCAGGCTGTCAGGTCACCATCACCTCGACCTCAACGGCATCAGGAGCATCCCGCGCAGGGGTGTCAGGCCAAGCATCCCGGACAGGGGTGTCAGGCCAAGCATCCCGCACAGGGGTGACAGGGTTCCATGGATCCCGCACAGGGGTCTCGAAGCATCCCGAACAGGGGTGTCAAGCTTTAGTGCAGGATCCCGCACAGGGGTCTAGGATTGAAGGATCCCGCGCAGGGGTCGAAAGCATCCCGAACAGGGGTGTCAGCGATGGTGTTGCACAGCAGGATCCCGCACAGGGGTCTAGAACAGTGTAGCTGCAGCTGCTTGTGATGTTCGTGACATGTACAACCCGAACAGAGGTGCGAGCAAACCCAGGTCGAGCAGCCCGTCGAGCCCTGCTTTCCTCGAGGCTGGGGTTTTCATGCTGGCAAGACTAGGAGCTCAGCTCGGCACCATAGGATGGTCACCACCAATCTATGAACCTCCCACGACATCGAAACTGCATGTTACATCAGGTGTCCTGGAAAGAGCTGGCGCCTGCCATCGCGATTTTGACCGCCGCAGCCTCAGCATCAACAGCAGGGGTCTCATCACAGTGAAGATGTCTTTCAGATGCAAAGCAGGTGCAAACAGTTGCAAACTTGTTTTGTATCGTGCCGGACAGCAGATTTGTCACCAGCACATCGCCAGGACCAGCGATCTCTCAAACAAGTAAGCTAGAAGGGTGGTGGTCCCAAGTTCTTAATGTGCTTAGAGCAATTATTTTTTTGCGGCACTGGTCCACGGCATTCATGCCTGCATCATGGCCATCCAAATCGGTCATGACACAAACACGCACAGACACTCCATCAACCTGCCCCACGCACACTCGTGATTACTGAGCTGTTTTTGTCGCCAGCCGCTGGGTGTTGATGCATGATAAATTATATATTTAAGTAAATGATGCCTGTCTATGGGCAGCGTTGTTGGTGTCATGTGCGTGCTTTCTTCTTTGGCGCAGAACCATGCCCCGGCGGCAACTCCGTCCTGGTAGAGGAAGAGGATCTTGATCTTGATCCTGGGAAGTGAAAAGTTGGCTTGGGCTGCTAAATGGAGATGGCAAAACCTCACTAGGTACCCCACGCCAAAACGGCGACGTAGGAGTCGGCGGCGATGTAGGCGTGTGCGGCACCATGCGATCCTGCGGGGCACTCCGGGTTCAAATTAAGATTATCTCATTCTGAGTTGCGAGCCGCCTCCCCTGGCGGAAGCTCTCCGCTCGCCGTAGCCGCTGTAGCCTCCTATTTCACCAGGGCATTGAAACAATTGCGCATTGTGCACTCGGCTTCTGAACACACACGTCATCCCACACAGTCCTGCGAACTGCCAGGCCCTGTTCCTCGTGGCAGCTGAGCTGTCGTAATCATTGCAGAAGGCTCCTAGACCAGGGCATCGTGCAGTCGGTGCTTCAACACAAACATGACCCCACGAAGTCCTGTACCGGGTCAAAAGGCGACCGTCTAGTAGGCTGAGGATCCTGGACAGACCATAGAATTGGGCACACGCCTTCTGAAACACAGCAGACGTGACCCCAAACTCCTTCAAGTTGGCCTCCAGGCCAGCAAGACCCAGGTCCTGCAGAAACCAGGGCACGAGAAGCACACATGATGTCATCCTTGATGAGTCGCCGCTCCTTCTTCAGCTCACTCTCCAGCTGTGCTCGTTTCAGGAGCTCTTCGGCATTCGCAGCCCTCTGTTTCGCGTTGTTCGCCTTTCGCTCCAGGAAGTTTGTTTTGCAATGCCATTTGGCAACGGCTGCCCTCACGGTGGAACGGAACTTGTCGTGCTTTTCCTTTGCCCTTCGAAGTCGAGAAGCGGCACTTTCAAGTTTGTGCTGGGCAGATTGAAGCTCAGTCTCCTTCAGCTTCATCTCCTCCGAAGCCTGCTCTTGCATCTTCTTCCGAAGCTCCTCCAGCTCTTCAGTCTTGGCCACCATCTGAGCCTCCAGCTGCTCTGCCAGCTTTTTCTTCTCGCCTTCCAGCTGCTCCACGCGCAACTTGAAAGCCTTCTCAAGCACCGTGTCCACCTTGCCCTGGGATGAACTGGACTTGAGGGCCGAGACTTCCTCCTGCCATTTCGCGTGCATAAGCCGCAACTTTCTGTTTGCCAGTCGGAGGAGGTCGGAAAAGTTCCCAGCTTGGTGAGGTTTGCCAGCGCTCGGGTTCGCCAGTCTCCACTCCGACGGTAGCTCCGGAAGCTCAGAGATCCGCTCGCCGGCAGGTAGTCGAGGTTCACCAGCTGCTCCCGCAACTGGGCCACCACTTCCGACAGGTGGTCTCTGTGCGGGAGCCCCCACAGGCGGTCGCTGAGAAGCCGATGCACCAGCTGTAACCGGCCTAGCTGCTCCTGCAGCTGGACCACCACGACGAAGGGGCCCCGCAACTGTGTCACCACTTCCGACAGGTGGTCTAGGTGCGGGAGGAGTCCCCGCAGGCGGTCGCTGAGAAGCCGATGCACCACCTGTAACTGGCCTAGCTCCTGCAGCTGGACCACCACGAAGGGGCGCCGCAACTGGGCCACCACTTCCGACTGGTCTAGGTGCGGGAGGAGTCTGAAGAGGCGGTCGCTGAGGAGCAGCTGTATGGTCCTGCAGCTGGACCACCACGAGGAAGGGGCGGGGTAGCCGGCGCCGAAGTTACCCTCTTTTCTGGGCTGATCGGCAGTCCTCCACTGGGCCCGAAAACAGTCGGTGGGCCCTCGGGAGCTTTAGGCCGCGAACGCCCATCAGGGTTCATACTATTTTGTTGTGTGCTCTGCGTCCTGACTTGGAAAGTTTTGATTGATTCTGAAGCTCTTGTGCATCATGATGGTCTGACTATGGAGGAGGAACCATGCCCTCCCTTGACTTTTCACATGTTTGCCGCACATCATCAAATGCTGGAACCTGAAAGTGCGTGGAAGACCGGTCAGGCTATAATCAAACCACTGGCCCAGCGCTGTTACTGTAGAAGCTGACAGAAATCAGACAGAATGACATGTCCGGAGGTCTGAGTTCTGAGAGCTGAGCCAAGGCCACGGAGGCCAAATCTCTGCAAGGCTCGTCCTGGCCTCAAGCGTCTTGCAGAGGTTTCGCACATTTACAGAGTCAGAAGTCTCAGCATTGCATCATGCACACACAGCATGTTATTGAGCAGTCTTGATTCACCGTCTGATCCCTCTCCCTATTTTCCTCGCTCTCTTTCTTTCTCGTCGAAACCCTAAACCCGTCTGATTGCCTTGCCTGCCTGTCTGCCTCACACTGGCTCTCTGCCTGGTTGCGTCTGTGTTTCAGCCCGTCTGTTTGTCCACATACCTCGTTCTTCCCCTCCCCCCCCGTTTCGTATTATTTGACGAGCGTGTGTCTTTAGGTCTTAGGCCTTCTTATTTGGCGGGGGTGTAGGTAGTGTTCTGGGTGTAATGCATCAGTGACCGGGCCACAGACTCCAAACTAGTTCGCATCTGTTAGGCTTGATTCCCTGAAGTTACTTCTGGTACATGGAGGTCAGTTTCTGTGGGCATGTGTCTGTGTCTTGGTGTGGATGCTGCTGCTCGTGCTGCCGTTCCTGGTAGATTTTTGCTGATGGTTGTGGTGAAGGCCGTGTATCTGCTGTTCTGGCACATGGCATTCTCCGCAAACAGCTGCTTAGGAGGTGTTATTCAAGACAACTGGCTGAAGCATGTGGGCACGAACGGTTCTCTTCCAACATGTTGAATCAGCACTGGGCTATCTGCAGGTAGATGAGAAATCCCCAGCGACGATCGCAAAACATGTGCCCACCGTCACAGCGAGCCCCAGCTTCGTTCTGAGATGGGAACCCAAAAGACAAAAGGAATCAAAAGAACCAACTTAAACCCTAGCCCCAGACCTGAACCCACGCGTTAAACCATTGCTTCCGCGGAAACAGAAGAAACACACAGTCCTGAGAGACCTGTCAACTGAACGAACGTGTTCCGAAACTTTTCACAGTATGCAGGTCTTAGGAGTTAGGAGTGCCACGGCCGGATGGTTGCAAGTTTAAGGTTTGCACGATTCCCTTCGGTGGTTACAGATGGACATTTCGCACAGCTTTAGGGTATTATGCTCAAACACAGCACAGAATATGCATGCTGCATGCTTCGATCATGAGCACTGGCCCGCTGGCTGAGCAACACAGTCGACGGTGAGGTGGTTGAGTGTGTGATCAGCTGACGAACAAAATCTCTGCTCTGCTGCGGTGCCAAGGCCGCTGCATCATCGACACCTTCCGAGGAGCCTCAAGGAGATTGCCGGTATTTTGGGGGGATTTCGGGTGATGGGTGGGGCTGATCTTCGATTGTTTCGGAGCCAAGTTTCAGAGCTTTTCAGTCGAGGCACATCCACAAGCATGGCCGGTTGTTTCAAGTTGGTGGCCTCCTGTTCTGTGTCATTGAGGAAAGGTCATTTTCTCCCTGTCTCGATGAACTTATATTTGCTGTTTCAGCAATGCAAGCAATGTGTGTGGGCCAGCTATTTCGAAATCGAAAATGGACTGAAAGAGACTCTGCAGAGTCTAGGATGCAGGCCTTCGCATGGACACTGGCCAAGAAGCATGCTGGTCAATTTGAAGATCAACATGTCATGGGTGCTCGCACACACTTCCTGCCAATACCACAAGTCCGATCATTCGAGCGGCAGTGCCTCGTGAAGATAGCTTCGGCTGACTACATCTTTCCTCGCCAGGATGCGGCACATGTGGAGTGACTCTCAGCTTTTGCCGGAGGGTGGCTTCGTTGGGGGCTGGCTGCCTGTTCAAGGTTCGTGCATCAGGTCCGTTGTTATAGCCTAAGTTATAGCCTTCTCATCTCGTGGAATACAGAACGGCTCTGTCACCGGCAGCTGCACTGTGGTTCACATCCAGGCTTACTGAATCCAAATATGTCCAACCAGTTTCCTGGTTTACAAGTTTCTAACAGCACGACTCCATGAAACATGTTTCCAAACAAGCTCCTGAACACAAAAGTCATGTCAGTTGTCAATCCAAAACAGCCTGGTGGACAGACCGGTTTTCCAAAGCATTGAGGAGCAGTTCTGTTGTCATTTTATTCACTCGATGAATTAAGGTTTTGGGCCAATCTCAAGGGGCATGTGCAAAGCGTGTGTTGTGGCCCCAAACACTGTTGCAAGCCTGTTCTCGGTTTTGCACATCAAATCTCACTATTTTCATGCTCTGACCTGATGAACCCCCCGTTTGCGCCCAATTCCTAGTCCTCTTCCTATAGAGCTGCATTGTTCTAAAGCTTTCTGAAGTGAAGCGGGGGAAGCAACTCCAGCATCTTATGGGAAAATTGAAGGAAGGCCTTTCGAGGCCTAGCCCGGACAGTGAGGAAATCCGGACCCTTTCCCAGGCCTTGTGCTGTGTCTCCCGCTGCCGTGAATGCTTGGGCGGGACAGGCCTGGCGTCTGCATTCGGGCTCGTATATGTAGGGAGGAGGGCTGTGGCTTTCTATAGAGATAGACTCGCTTTTAACAAGGCTACAGATGTGCGTGGTTGAACCTGATGATAAAGCACTAGTTATAATAAAGTGGGCTGCAGTGAGTATAGGAGCATGGAGGGTCTGGCTTAGGGTTTAGGGTGTATTCCACAGAGTTCTTAGAGGGCCTCGGTAACCGAGATGGTTTCGCTACTAGGGGGCAAGGGAGTTCGCTGAGGGTCCGGGGAGTTCGCCGAGGTTGCTTGGGAGTGCTCTCAAGGGCCTGGGGAGTCCTCTCGGGGGCTGGGGGAGTCCTCTCGGGGGCTGTGGGAGGGCGCCTACCGAGCAGTAAGCGCACTCTCCTTCTTGTTTAAGTTGCCGTGAGGATGGATTTTCGGTGGTTTCGGGGCTGGGTTTTCATAAATTAAGAAGAGTGCTAATGCTTCGGAGGGTGCTTATAGTCGTAGCCTTCCAGAGACTATCAGAGCAGTAAGGCTAAGGGCTCTCTCCTTATTTTTTTGGTTGCCATTCGGAGGGATTTCTCAGGGTTTCGAGGTTGGGTTTTCATAATTCCAGAAGGTTGCTAGGGCTTCGGAATGAACTCATTTACATAGCTTTCCAGAGACTTTCAGATCAGCTAAGCTAAAGACACTCTTCTTCCGAGGTTGGGTTTTCAGAATTCCAGAAGATTGCTAGGGCTTCGGAATGAACTCATTTACATAGCCTTCCAGAGTCTTTCAGATCAGCCAGGCTAAAGGCACTCTTCTTCTGGTTGCCCCCTGGAGGGATTTCTGAGGGTTGCACGGTTGGGTTTTCAGTAATTCAGGACTGAGCTCAGTCATAATAGCCTTCCAGGGACTTTCAGACCAGGCTAAGGGCACTCTTCTTCTTTTTTTTGGTTGCCATTCGGAGGGATTCCTGAGGGTTGTAGGGTTGGGTTTTCTGAAGTTCAGGAGTGAGCTCATAGTCATAGCCTTCCAGAGACTTTGGGGTTGTTTTGTTCCGCATGCGTTGGCATTGCATCCCCAATCGTCCTTAAATTGAAGTGATACTCAGCTGCACTACCTGTTTGGGTGGGTGTTGTAAACGGTCTGAGCCCAAACCCTTAACCCTAGGGCTTCTACCCCAAGTCTCAACGATGATTCAGATGCGACTTCCGGCATAAGCATCGTTTTTTGACATTCGATGGCCAAACAAATATCGCATGAACTACTTTTCCCTGATGCAGCCAATTGTCGTCTTGGCCGGTTGTTGCAATCTGAATGACTGAAGAGGAAGCGATTATTGGTTTCCAGACCCAAGGCAAGCAGCTCCGGTTCCGGAAAGACCAACATTTCACTGACAAGCACACATGCATGCATGGTGGCGCGATCTGAGATCTCATGGTGAAGGACCACTTACGTAGGGCCTATCTCGGGCTCTAATTCTTGCGATGTTTTCTTGCATGGTGGCGCTTGCTTGATGTCATACGACATATGGCGAAAGTTTGATATGGTTGGCCTGTAATCTTCCTTCGAGTTGTCAACCTTTGTCCTTTCCCAAGTTTGACAGTGGCGTGTGAAGTGCATTTGACTTGCGCGTCACGAATCACATAGACAGCCTGTCTTATTCTTGAGTTATCATCCGCATGACATGTGTCCTGGCACGATAACGATAGAATTCGCACGCAGGTGTGTCAAGCTCCTGAAAAGATCCCAATCCGTCCGCGAAGCCGGAAAGTGGGAAACATGGGCGAAATCTTGCAGCCGTCTTCCCGTGCTGGAGGCTTTGCTGCTGGCCAGGCAGACGACGTTGTGCTGCCCGCCAGAAGCTCAATCGGATAATCATGAGTCAGCCATTGCCACTGCCTTGCCTTCAGAAAGATCCAAGCATGGTCCATTCTGCAGCACCTGTCAGTGGCTTGTAATGGACAGATGCGCAGACACTTTCATTTTGAAGCCTTCAACATAATTAAAGCTGCCACTCCGGCTCATGCAGTAAGACAGCATCGTTCCACAGCCTTTACATGAAAGCTGCCAGTGTCCGTGGGTCATGGTCGGCAAGTCTCTCGCAGACGTCTTGCGACAGTCTGCGAGCAAGCCGGAGCCACAGACAAGGAAGAACTTCGGCTGATATGCACGTTAAAGCAGTTTTGAGCATGGACTTCCCGTTGTTGGTTGCAGATGTGTGCGCACGCAACGAGCGATTGTAAGGCGCCCAGCGAGCCGTTCATGTTTGAAGCCACCTGGCTTGGGATGCATGCGTTGCGGGTGCTTGTGGTATGAGGTCGTCGCATCCAGATTTTACAGCTGTTTCCTAGGCGGCCTTGTGCAGCAT